ATGTATGTATGTATGTATGTATGTATGTATGTATGTATGTATGTACATGCGAATTTACAAATGAAAAACACATTGAAACAATTACTTCGGTCACATTTGCCACTTAACTATTTATAGCGCTGATGGGATGACGAAAATACTAAAATAAAGGGGGAAAAAGAGAGAGAGAGAGAAAGAGAGAGAGAGAGAGAGAGAGAGAGAGAGAGAAAGAGAGAGAGAGAGAGAGAGAGAGAGAGAGAGAGAGGAAGAAAAAGAGAGGAAAAGAAAAAAAGGAGAAGGAATAGCATGGAGACACATGTTGAAACATGCGAATTTAGACAAGAGGTTGAATGTTGTCTGGAATGAAAAACTGTTGCACGGGCATGAATCCTCTATTGATTCATTCTACAGTTTGCGAATGAAATTTGCTTCGAAATGTTGTTTGAGTTCTTTGGTGTTTTGTTCGTTGGGTGGATTTGTCGGCTGGCTGTTCGACGCCTTTCTAGGATGAAAATATAATTAACAAAGGATTGTGACTGGTGAAAGAAGATGCAATAAGATTAAGAAGAAAGAAAGAAAGAAAAAAGAAGGGGGAAGAAAGAAAGAAAGAAAAGAGAGAGAGAGAGAGAGAGAGATAATTAAAATAAACAACTACGTATGTGTAGTTAGTAGAGAACAGAGAAGGATGAACAACGAAATAGAACAGGATGAAAGATGATGATGTTTTCAATGTTGTTGTTGTTGTTGTTTTAATGATGATGATGTCGTTGCGGTTGTTGCTGTCGATGATGATCACGTGGAAACCTTTTATGTTGTTTGCTGGTCGGTAGCCAGTATTATTATTATTAATATTGTTGTTATTACTATGAATCTTATTATTATTATTATTATTATTATCATCATCATCATCATTATTATTATTATAAATACAGATAGCTTTTAGGCAGTTGCAGGAAATTAGAGTTGACAAAAAAACAACCACGCGGATGAATGGATGGATGGGTGAATGAATGAATGAATGAATGATTGATCGACTGGAAAAATAAAAAAGAGCAATGAATGAATGAATGAATGAATGAATGAATATAAAAAAATTTAAGCTAAAACAAAACGAAGAAATATTATGCACACGTAAAATTACACTTACACACACAAACACACACATGCACACACACACACAAACATACAATGGGCACACAAAGCGTGCTCTATAAAATGAAGAACGACCGTAAAATAAATTCTCAGGATGACTAACATAATTATATTATACAATTATCTTTTTATTCATTTATTCAGTGGTTTATTCATTCGCTCATTCATTCCTTCGTTCATACATTCATCTATCCATTAATTTATTCATCTTTCCATCTGTCAATCCACTAATCCTTTTTCTACTCGTATTTCATTAGGAAATGAATTCGGTATCTTAAATTTGGTACCGGCTGCATGGGGCTTCAACGAAAGATTGAAAAAGCAAATTTCGTTTGCTGAGTAATAAAGTAATTTGCTTCGTCATCGCCGTCGTCATCATCTTCTTCGTCATCATCATCACTCTACAAATTAATCATTGGCATTGAAAGTTCAAAAAACATAAGCTGCTAAATTCTGTAAAAACTGTCAATTAATTATTAACATCTTGAAAAAATACATCTCACACACACACACACACACACATGCCCACCACACGCATACACACCACACACACATGAACGCACATAAGCGTACACATAAATACGCGTGTACAACAGCATGCACACCTAATAAAATATAATATTACACAACAAACAACTGAGTAGAGCTTACCTGTACAGTAAAGAGCAAGCTCCAACACAAAACATAAAGGTATAAATGAGCGTATGTGTATATGTGTGCACGAGATGAATGAAGAAATAAAAAATTTATGTATGTATGTATGTATGTATGTATGTATGTATGTATGTATGTATGTATGTATGTATGTATGTATGTATGTATGCATGGAAAAATTACGAAATTATGAATGTATGAATGAATGAATGAATGAATGAATGAATGAATGAATGAATGAATGAATGGAAAAAAGTTAGGACCATGTGCATTAGTAACAAAATCGACATCAATATTATCAACACACACACCAAAGACTAATAGTTTACTATTACTATACTATAATTGTCCTTTGCGATATATTGATTTATTTTATGCATACACATGTTGTGCTATATGTATGTCTGGAAGTTTGATAAAACATGTGTATATGTGTGTACTGTGTATGTATGTATGTATGTTTGGTTAGTATATGTGTGCATGTATGTACGTATGCATGTTTGTATGTTGTTTAGTCTAGATTGAAGCTTTTTATATTTTTTTTATTGAGTATAGTATCCAGTATGCTTGTATACATTATTTATGTGTTTGTTTGTATGCTTGCTTGCTTGCTTGTATGTCTGTGTGTGTGTGTGCGTGCGTGTGTGCATGGTTCAATTTATGTTTGTTAAATAATATTAGGCAATAAAAATTACTTGAGTCTTCAGCTTAATCTCCAAATTCCCACAAGCAATCGTTCGAACTATTTTTTAATGCAACCTTCATTCAAAATTTATTTAAAAGTTAACTTAGATAAAAGTTAATGGCATATAAATAAACCTATACGAATATGTACATAAAATACAAGTCCATGTTTGGATGAATGTTTAAGAAGTAGAGCATAATAAAGGGCCATCCCAGCTAGCTAAAAGCCAATAATTAACTAATATCTGTGAAAGAATAATAGTAATAATAATAATAAGAAGAATAATAATAAAGATAATAAAAATAATAATAATATCAATGATAAGAATAATAATATTAATCTTAATAACAAAAATAATAATAATACTAGCCACTTCACAACTTAACATTTGAAAAAAAAACACTCAAAGTATAAACAAGAGTAACAACACCAACACGTCAACAAAATATAAATACATATATATACTACCATGTAACATAAAATAATGCAAATCTATCTATTTATGTGTCTTCAACTCTTAAACAACACATACACACACATGTATATTATATATATCTACATATAGAAACACATAAACACATATATTCATTGAACCTATATATAACCTGCAAAACACTACATAATATGTATGACATGAAATATATACAACATTATCATTACAAAATACACACACACACGCACGCACACACACACGCACGCATGTCACAGACACAAATATATATATATATTTTTTACAAGTTTATATATATATATATATATATATATATATATATACATAACATGTTGTTACATTACTTACATGAAATGATTAGCACATAACAGTGTGTTTGTTACATGCATTTCATTTTAATGCAATGATGAAAATAAAACACCCACAAATTCTCTCTCTTTCTCTCCCTGTATTAAAATAATAAATAGTAAATTAGTAGATGATAATTTATTATGTGTTGAAATAAAAAAAAAAATGAATATTTAATTTTATCTATTTGATGTTTTTGATTTTATCAAATACATCAGTATTTAACTAGCACTAACAAATAGCAGCAACTACTGTATTGTTTTATTTTAAAAATTATATCAGTTTAGTTTAATGTAATGTAATATGAACTTATTGTTAACAAACTAAATTAAAATGAATGTAGCTAGGTAGGTAGCTGTCAAACTTCTAACACAAAAGAACCTTGTAATAATTGAGTTAACTTACATTATAGTACATTACTCACGGAGAGCAATCATAGTATCATGCTAGTATCATAGACCATATAGGGATAGATAGATAATTAGAAAATGGACTGACGAAACACAGGTCACACACTTTTAAGTATGCACATTTATTTAGGATTTTTATTTATACTAACTAACTGACTAACACAAATTTTAATAAACAAATGTAAACTTTTTTCAAATAGCTAACAGCTAATTAAATGGAGTTTTACATATAATAGTTTATTTTACTAATAACTAATTTGAAATTTGTATAAATGCTGTGGAAAGACTATCTTTAACTAATAGTCTAATCTTATCTAATCCTTATCAACAATGGAATATTGTAAGTAAGTATCATATGTGTATGTTGAGTTGGGTTTTTTACTAAAATAAAACTTTTAAGAAAATAATCTTTGCCACAAAGATACTTTAATATTTTTACAAGTCATTCACTGACAATCACCAAATTTAATGACAAAATTATCGCAAACTAACTTTCGGAGAGATCTGTTAGATAAAAGAATAAAATTTTTCACCAATTTTAATTTAAACTTTCCGCCATTTGAATTTAATAAATGTATAAAAGTGAACTTCCAAATAAACAGAAAATTTAAATGCCTTTAAAATTGAATTTAAAGTTAGAAGCATACATTTTATTCTACATATATGGAAGCATATATGTATATACATATAATTAGAATTTATATATAATAGAAATAGAATAAAAGATAATTTGGCAAAACCAAGGCGAGCCTCCAATTTTTTTAAAGTGTATATATATATAACATATTTTTATAATTTTATATATATTTAGAAGATTCGTGTGTAAAGTAATACGTTAGTCTGTACGCTTACCCTAAACCATGGGTCAGGGGTGAGCAGACTATGGCTCGCGAAGCTAGGGTTTGTTTGCCAAAAAAAGGTGTCGTCAGCCGGACATTATGACCACCAAAAAAAAGGAGCCACAAATCTTAAAAAATTTTCCCTCAGGTCGAAAAATTGCTATTTAAGTACATTTGCGACCCTTCAAACCTAAAATAGTTTTCAATGCAGCCCTCACAGCAAAAAAATTGCCCACCTTTGCCCTAAGCGTTCAAGGCGAACTGGACGAAAAAGAAAAAACGCTCTACACTTTGAAAGAAACAGGAAAATTTAATACGTTTGAGTCATATTTCAGATTTTTCAATTAACTCCTAATATTTTTTCAACATTGTCAATGTCAATTAATGAATCAAAACAGTTTGATAACTATAACTTATTGAACAAACGAACACAAGCGAACACACGATTTATGAAAAATAAAATGAGACAAAACAAATTAAAATTAGGGTTGTTTCTGTTCAAACATATCTCGAATCCACTGAGAATCAGCGTAATATCGTGGATCAGACAGCCTTAGCGACGTCCTTTTGTACAAGTAGTAGTAAACAACTGCCGCTATACAAAGTATTCAATGTGGTTTGTAATAAAAAATCATAAAATATATGGAATTTTTGAAGAAAACGGCTATAATACTTAGTCGCTGCAAGGCATATAAAGCTGTATAACCGGGAACTTCTGTGTAGTAAAGTGGATTAGACCAAGAACAAACCTTTAAAAATGATAATGATAAAAATAAAATATAAACAGAAAAATCGTCAATCGTAATTTAAAAAATGAAACACCAACCAGCCCCCAAGCGTGGAGAGCCACAGTGATGCAGAGATAAAACAATATGGTGAAGATCGTCTTTTTAAATTTGTCAATCAGTAGAAATATTAATCCGGCCTGGAAAAGATAAGTCTCAATGAAAACGAGAAACAGTGCTATGGCGGACAATAAGATGCAGATATCTTGAACACTGTTGTTTTTGAAAAAATAATTTTATACCTTTAAGAACAAAATCAAATTTTATACTTTTAAGAACGAAATCATATGATTAGTTATATATTGTTGCGGACAATTATTTAATACACTTAAATAAATAAGCGTCAAAAACTGACAAATAAATGATTAAAATGGTGAAATTTGACGGGAAGGCCAGCATGCCGAATGAATTCATGAGCAGATCTTCCAACAAGAGAATGTGTTGAATCACTAAAATTACGTTGTATTTCTGTGCTTGCATCATAAAGCTATGCAAAAATAGTTCATAAGATTATCTAATATTACCATAAATATTCCTAACAAATGCAAATTTGATAAAAAATGACATAAATTGCATACGGACAAAAGCTTTGTATACATTAGCAACCGAATAAACTGATTAAAAGTTAATTTAATTATATACTCGCTAAAAATTACCTGTAAAAAATTATTCTCTCTCTTTCTCTCTCTCTTTTTATATATATATATATAAATATATATAAAGTGATATATATAAAGATATATATATATATATATATATATATATATATATTTAAAAAGTTGCAACCATAAACCTATGTAAATAAAAGCATTTTTTAAAAGATGATTGAGCCCAATATCGTATTCTGTTAAAATCTCAGACAATCGTTCCCATTTTTTCAAATTTTTTTAAAAAAAGGTTTATCTACAAAAATTAAAAATATATTTTAAAAATCAATCAAAAAACTTACAATCATAACTTCTTATAAGTGAAATCCCGACATTTTTATATACATGTTGTATCTTGAATCGACCTTAATGTATTGCTGAACACGCACTATAGTTCGATTTTTTTACTGTAGCGTTGATGGACGTTGATATAGCTAATTAAGAATTAAAAAATTTAAATAGAAGTTATTTTCTGAAACATATATACAGAATATATTATAAAAATGTATAGTTTGATTATGGAAACCCTGTATAATTAACAACGTTCGCCAGATATCACCTATCATATTAGTCTGAATGCTTCATTGTAATATTCCGATTTAAAATTTGCATTTGTAGCCTTGAATTTTTGAACGTTTGTGCATGAAAATATTGATTTGTATTTTTAAAATTATTTCATAGAGATTTAATTTTTTAATTCGGTTTAATAATATTAATCCATCCCTGTCCAATAGCTAGCCATGTCATCAACGAGATCTTAAGAGACTACTAACGAGAAGTTCGGTTTCCATTTTATTTTTCATTCAAAATTCTCCATTCAGTTATCTCTGTAATATCTTTTCAAGTTAGTTTCAAGAAATGTAATTTTCGTACATATATTTTTCAATTATTTTGTTCTAAACTTTTAATCTCTGTTAGTTTGCGTAAAAAATCGTAGGCTGATTCAGCCTTTGTGATTAGTGACAAACATGGCGGCCGATGAATCATAAATAAATATAAATTGAACTTTAAATTTTTAATCGTTTAGGCCATCCATAGGAAGTCAAAACTTTTGCCTGATTACTTCCTTCTCGTCTGATTTAGAACCAAAGTTGAAAATAGAAAAAGAAGCTACCTGAGTAAGAACCTACCTTCACCATCATGGGGAACATATTCACCAAATTGTTCCAGGGCCTCTTTGGCAAGAAGGAGATGAGGATCTTGATGGTGGGGCTCGATGCCGCCGGAAAAACTACCATCCTGTACAAGTTGAAACTAGGAGAAATTGTCACAACTATTCCTACAATTGGTTTGTCACTTTCTTTTTTTTTAAATGTTTTATTGTAAATTCACTCATCTTATATATAAAAATGAATTTTGAAACTGAAAAAAGGCGCCATCTACAGATATAATTGTTCTTTTGTTGTTCAGGCTTCAATGTAGAAACAGTAGAATACAAGAACATCAGCTTCACAGTGTGGGATGTTGGGGGCCAGGACAAGATCAGACCTCTCTGGAGGCATTACTTTCAAAATACACAAGGTCTCTTACTTTCTGCTCACTGTCTTACCAAAATCAATATTTTTACAGAGTATTTATAGTTTTTTATTATTTATTTAATTTTCATTAAATAATTTTAATTTTTTTTTTTCAACCAAACTAGGCTTAATATTTGTGGTGGACAGCAACGATAGGGAGAGAGTGGGTGAGGCCAGGGAGGAGTTGATGAGGATGCTGGCAGAGGATGAACTGAGGGATGCCGTACTCCTTGTTTTCGCTAACAAACAGGTCAGTTAATCTGATGGCAGTTAGAAAGTTAGTTAGGTAGGAAGCCAGTCATGAAGTTAGGCACTTGGAAGTTTATTGTTCAAAATTAGGGAATTATTATTTTAAGATAAGTCATTTTGTTCAGACTACGTTTTTTTATAAAGGGTCCAAGCAGTTTTCAGTATTTGTTAGAACTTTTCATAATGCCCACTCTAACACACTCACAAACAAACACGTAGCCCCCACCCCAATCAACCATTTCTAGGACCTTCCAAACGCAATGAATGCAGCTGAGATAACGGACAAGTTGGGCCTGCACTCACTTCGCCAGAGGAACTGGTACATACAAGCGACGTGTGCTACGAGTGGAGACGGGCTGTACGAGGGCCTTGACTGGCTCTCCAACCAACTCAAAAATCAGAAATAATTTCTTTTAGGCTGCTAGTGAATGAATGATTGGTTGGTTGGTTGATTGATTAGTTGGTTGATTGATTTGTTGGTTTATTGATTGGTTGATCACATTTTATATAAACAACATTAATACTTACTTATTTAACTATATTATTACAAGCTATATATTCATCTGACGCTAATTTGTTTATATTAATTATTTATTTATTCGTCTTGTTATTTTATTATTTTGGTTATAATTATAAGAATATTATTGTTATTATTATTATTTGATGATTGACAAAGATCTAATGATAAGAATTTATCTTTTATTATTATTGAAATAATGATATAGCAACATTATGATTGCAAAGCTTCTCCTCCATTAACACAATTTCTCCCGTTCACTTGTATTCGTTTGTTCGTTCTTTCGTTCGTTCTTTCATTTGTTGGTTAATTGATTGGTTGGTTGGTTGGTTATTTGATGAACTTGCCAGTGTAGATTGAACGGCAGTGTCTTTATAAATGAAAATTATGAAAGCCAAGTTAGCATTGATGTTGACGTAACTGTCTTCAATGAAAGAAATAAATCGAATGAAAGAACGAAAGAGATTGAATGAATAAATGAATAATGGGAAGAAAGCAACTACTACTAGTAGTATGTAGGCAAGTATGTACGTACAAATACCCACACACTCGTGCATGGTATGAAACCAGACTTGTATCTCCGTATGCATATTTGTGTCTGTCTTTGTGCATGCATTCGCATTGCTCGTGAATCTTCCGTCTTGTTTTGCTGGCTTGGTTGTAATCAAATTTATCAATAATTTAATTACAATATTTCTCCTATCTTAATAAAGAAGTGTCTCAAAGATATATTTCATTTATAGTTTATTATGTAAACTATATATTTATATATATATCTAATTTGTAGAAACATTTGTATGATTTATTTATCTTTGTTATAAATAAAGCATGGATAGAAAGACGTTTGTGGGGTTTTTATTCATAACGTCCATAAGATCCTTATTATTATTATTATTATCATCATCAACACCAGCTCGGTGGGCTTCTCGTGACATATGGTGATAATCAATGTGATACATTCATCAGGCCATTACATGCTACGTAATTATGTCTAAATATTGCTTGGACGATTATTGTTTTTATTATTGTTGTTATTATGATGATTGTTGTTTTTGTTGTTATGATGACGTCACAGATGACTTCAGCGATGATGAAATTAATGATAATAATCAGAAAGAAGGTGCCGACTGTGATATGAGAGGTTGAAGTGATGATAATGACGACGATTATGATGATGATGGTTGTTAAAAGGAAAAGCAAAGAAATGTAGTTGGTGGATGGCGTTCAATGAGAAAACTTCTACTTAATTGTTTGCACATTTCAGATTCTTTGTTCATCTCTTTTATCGTTTTTGGTGCCATTATTGTTGTGTTGTTGTTAATGTCGTGTTGTTGTTGTTAATGTTGTCGTCACATACATCTGTATGTGTGAGTGTATATGTGCGTACGAGCATACATTTCACGCGTATACATAAAGATGCGCCGGTTTATTCGCATACGCTTGAATGTACAATTTCACAAGTGTACGCTTTGCTTATGTATGTATATATGTATGTATGTATGTCAGTGTAGATGTAATATATGAATAAGCGTACATACATGTGTTTATATATATATATATATATATACATACATACATGCATGTATGCCCTTATAAAAGTGAGAGATGGAATCTGTAGTTGTCTCAGAATGAATGCTAACAAGATGAATGGATGGATATGTGGATATGTCTGGTAGGCTTGAAATTCATGAAGAAATAAAATAATTTCGAACTTTGATAATTAATATGCTAAATATTTAATAATTACAATTAATAAATAGACGCCAA